TGCGAATGACATTTACATCGCGAGTAAGACGGAAATTATTGGCAAGACCGGTACGTATCGCCAAGCACTTCGCAGTGCTCTTCGAGGTGACCTCTTACGCGCTATCGTCCTACCTACTTGTAGTATCGCCTAATCCCCTCCGGTCACAGACGATCCCGGTCGACCTCTCGAGTCCGGATAGTGTCTGTGTCTAGGCGCCACGAGTCGGAGTATCATCTCCAGGAGTCGATGGGAACCGTGGTGGCTTCGTCTTCACATATTGTGCCAACAATTAGGTGAAAGGCGCTCCCACAGATCTTAGAAGCCGCGCGCGAGCGAAGAGTGCCAGGCGGAATGATAAAGAGAGAGAGAAAGAGGACACTGAGGAAAGGGAAGGAGGAAGAAAGAGAGAAAGAGAGTGCGATCGGGCACGAGGAGGTGGAGGGCACGGGGGACTGGATCGTTTAATATACCTAGTGAGCGACCAACCGACCTACCTACCTACCTACCAACCTACCACCTAGAAATGTGGACGCTTACCACGTCGCGAAACGTGTACGAGAGCGAGTCTGACAGAGACGGAGTCCTAGTCGAGCAAAACACATCTCGTGCTCGCCCAAGGGGGACTAATCTAGCTGGTAGTTTGACGTGGCGATGATGCGGTAGTAACCTTTAGGTGCCCCGTCCTCCGATACTACTCGCATACGATATCCCCGCGCGTTTACGCCGCGCGTACCCGCCTTTTCCCTCTTCTTTTTATCTCGCCAGCCGGTTTCTTTCATTCAGGCTCAGCCGCGCATTCGTATCTTGCTCTGCGAAACGCAATCCGATTCTCGCGGAGTTCGTTCTTTATATACCAATAAGACCTCTCGTCCCTGCAAACCCGCATTACTTTTAGTTGAAATAAAAGCACTTGACCTCTCCTAATAAAGACTGCGTGTGTTCGCGCGTGAGACAGGGGAGTCGTCACATTTCAAACTCGCCCATCTCGATGGAAAATTTTACTTGCATTGTAACAATATTTTTCAAACGAACAGGTCCTGCTGTACTTACAGAAACGGACGAATCGTTTCTTCAATTTTGACGTGCTCATTGAGGAGACCTTGTGAATGATCAAAATGTTCAATTCTTTCACGGTCGATAATTCGGAACGGCAAGACAATACATTGATTACGATGCTTCGACATTCCTGTGTTGTTTTATAAGTCGTTTTCGTGTCTTTTCGTTACAGCGCGCGCATTTGGCCTCACGCAATACTGCAGTTTAAATCTCATTTATCGCGCTGTATTCGCTTTAAAATAATGATTTAGCGATAGTAACCTTCTTAACCTTTAGGCACTCACCTTTTGCTACCATACAATCGCACTCACTTTCACACGTAACCGTCTTTGATTATCTCCTCGCACATCGCCTTTTCTCAATTCGATTCTATATGCTTAATAATATTTTATAACGTAAACGTCATTACGTGTATCTATATTCATCTATGACCTCGTCTCATTGCTTTCATCGATTAACTACGCGCCAAGCTTGCTTTATTGATCTCCGTTGATCCTTTCGCAAAAAGGCGCTCCGGACTCATGTTCGCCAATGATTGGATGTAACAAAGAGGTCCTTGAGAGGAGCGGCATTTATATATGAGATTGATATTGTCTCTTCCTGTATAATTATCATTACGCAATTATCATTAGTAATACGCAATCACACAATGCGTTTCAACTGTCACATTCCTTTCTTCCTCTTTCTTCCGTCTGTGGTCCTGACCTTTGTATCGCGATACCGTCGCTCTTCAGCAGCAAGCCGATGCTTTCTTCTACCTGGCGGGAGGTAAAAGTTGCAAACCGACAAATTGGGATCTGCAAAAATACAGGAAACCCTATACTGCACGGAGGCCGGATCGTCTATTTACACAATGCTTCATCGTATGCTCCGAAGAAAAATTTGATCTCTTCCGCAGTGAAAGCGAACCGTGGCATTGGGAGCTACCGCGGTAGCTGCCGTCGGGCATTTTTCGCCAACCTTTCACCCGAAAAAGGATCGCGGCCACGGCAGCGGCGGTCGCGGCTGCATGACTGCCGAGCGTCGTCGTCGGCCGCGAAGTTCACTTTCCGCCCGCGGAGGTGAGAGTTCCATGGGAAGCTTCTGCCCGCTAGCTTAACACTCCGCGCACGCCCATAACTAAGCGTGTGGAAACGCGTTCGTACGCTAAGCGGCTTTATCAGTTGCGCGCACGGTTGAGAGCTCGCAGAGGCGGTAATAAACCGCGATCGAAGGCGCGGGTGCGAATGAATTTCTTGAAATGTTATTGAGGAAACTACACGGTTCTTACGGAGCAGAGAGGTTCTATTTAATATTATGGCAGCGAAGACGCGTATCTCCTATTCGCTGAGTACTATTAATTTTTGTGGAATGTTTCTCCAACATGATGAAAATTGTAAAAAAAACTTTACAGATCCCGTCTTTTATCCGCTCTATAAGTGTTTTCTCGCGATTTATTCAGCCAGGCGTCTGTAAAAGGCTTCAACGCTTAGAAAGGATTCTTTGCGCGATATAGATTCGCGCGCGAATTTATCAGAAACGTGCATTTATTCATTAACGAACCGTTAGCTATTGTTGTAATATTGATGGTTAAAGCAATTAGGGGAAAATTACGGAGTACCGAGAAGACTGCGGAAAACCAATAGCGCGTAATCTGTGCATCTCGGGAAGCACATCAGTGGGTCGTATTCAATCACCATGACATTCAGCTCACGACTTTTGCCCCAGGAGGTGAGAGCAGCTTCCAGCCACAACATAAAGTGAACAGGATGCACCGCGCGCAATCTTATTCGCTCATGGAATACAACTTCGAACTCTTTAACTTGTTGCACAATGGACAAAGTGCACGATGGAAGAATTGTGCACGAGACGTCAAAATACGCCGCACAATGGCTTGCCTGACTAATGCAGCGCATGTTCAATATCGATGATTGACGCGAAATCGAGAAAAGATCAACTTTATTGAAAAAAAAGGAGAAGAACGTACAAACTCGTTCTCTAATTTATTCGCGTATTGACATCGATGCAATTTTCGCTCTTTTAATATACTTCGATATACTCGTTGTATTTTTTACGTCAATTGATGGAACACGTTGTATCGCTAATCGTCGGTTAACTTATTGTGACAAGAAGGATGATTTCATGCGGCCTGCTATTTCACGCCTGCGGGAGATCTGTCTTGGTCAGGACTGCTACTCCTCTTCTTCGCCTAGCTGCCGGCCGTCGCGTCGCTTGCTACGATTTGCGTGACGACGGATCTCTTCGAGAATGAATTGCCCCGATAATTTGTACGATTGACTCATCTTGCAACTCGTCCCAGCCACGTGCAGATTAATTGCAAGTCAGTCGCGACTGTAAAACGGTTGTCCTATATTACGATTCTCACCTCACTGCGCTGTGTATACTGAGAGAAAAATACCGCGACGCTTTGAAATAAAGTCAGAGGAGCCAATAAATTAATTGAACCTGAAAAATTTTTTTTTAAATATATATTACATTGTCAACTTTTATGCTCGTAAGAATTCGCCTCCTTTGTTCGCTTGTTGTTAATTAAACTTACTGTAGAATCACTGTCAAGTACTACGGAGCTCGAAAGTAATTTGAACGAGTACCAGAGGAGCTTTTTTAATCATCAGCGCTGTGACGTGACAATTGAAATGTAGATAGGAATTAAGAATCGTGAAACCTAAATAAAAGGGGATTCACAAAGAAAGATGGCAGCGTGATAGCATTTTACAACTTGGCAAATTTATTTGTAGTCCGTTGAAGTGGAATTTTCCCACACACACTAATACAATACGATTTGCGGAAAGCATACATGGAAATCATCTCACGCGCATGTTGTCTCATCTCTCTTGGAGAGACAAAGAACATGAACCTTTCTACCAGGCTGGCCGTGTGCCTCGGTGGTGTAAAGCTAGCGATACATGCATGGATACTGATACATCATGATAATAATATATAATATAATAATAATTTTAATAATAATAAAATAACATTATTATCACTCCTATGATACCGTACAACGAAATGCAGCTCTACACTCGTGAGGCCTGTCGGCGGCTACAGTACAGAAATGACTAAGCGCTATTTCGATAACATCCATAAAATAATAATAATAATCAATAATAATAATTAATATAATAATATTAAAGACGCATTGATACGCATTTAAGCTATGTACAAAGTACGATTTCATTCCACTATTTGTAAGAGGAATCAAAAGTTAGAAAGAAAGAAAGAAAAAAAAATCCTGTTTGCTCCCGAAGCCATCGTGGTTCCTTTCCGTACGAACTTTCCATGTCATCCCACGCGAGTTAGCTAAACCGGCAACTCTCTCGATATTCGCTCGAGACGCCGTAGCGAAAGCGCGCGTTACATTGTACTAACATTTAAGGACGTTTTGCGGTTTTTCCCTCGTGTCAAAGCGAAAAGATATTCAGTCACGCCAGTTTCTCAACCCTCATTAGCGTACAAGTCCGAACGCTTTCTCTCCTTTTAATGTACAGTTTGAAAAGCATGCCGCAAAATATATTAGGTTCAATACGAAAGATACATTCTCTACAATCGACCACGATGGACCCGAGTGACACTCGGGTCGAAGTGGTTAGAACAGGAGGGGGCAAGTACTCGTTCTGATAATTTGGGTGATATCTTTTCGCGCGGTATGTATCCAGATATGTCGATAACATCAAATATAACATAGATATTAGAGGAGGAGATAGGAATATAACGTGTTTTAAGATGGGAGCGTATGTGACGCATCTGAGACATTGTGATTTACTTCAGAAATATACATATAAAAAAACGATGATATATGTAATGGTTTCACACGCTCGTTTCGTCGAGACATGCACCCACAGAAGAAATTTCCGGATCCAATGCTATTACACTTGAATGTATCGTAAAATAGGATCGATACAGCGCCAATCGTGTTTATTATAGAGAAAGGAATATTTTAATCTTGAGTGAAAAATTCTAAAATCTAGAAGAAAACTTCATTTGTCTTATTTTTATACCAAACGAGGCCGCGAGAAATATAAATGCGTCATATTTTTGTCTCAATGACAGAAATCCCTTCTGAGGGTGTGCACTTGAAATTTAAAACGTTAACGCGTAATCGGGACGCGATCGATAAAATCGTTATCAACCGACTATACGTCTTGGAAAGTCTCCCCGGTCGTGCGCACACGTATATTCCTACCGGCTCCTCCGCGAGAACCGAAGGTTCCCGCAGTTTGCGTCCGAGCTGAATGATTTCGAACGGTCATATTTATGCTCGCCGCACGCGCTTTCCCACTCGATTCTCGTATTTTAGCATCGCGCTCGAGAAGCAAGCGGGAATCGGCGTCGCTCTTTACGCCGCTTTACGTCTGCCTACTTGGAGCATTGCGGTGCCGATTGCTCCATCGCGTGCAATCTCCTCCCTCCGTCCACGCTCCGAGCACCTTATGCCCGTCGCGCGATCCGCACGGGTATGAATAAAGGAAAAGAGAAACTAAACGATATACCGAAAAAAAAGGGGAGAGAAAGAAAGATACGATCGACGCTCGGAAATAATAACGGTTGATCCTCGTTCCACCTCAATGGGTGGCGTCTCGGCCGGAATCGAAGAGACACGTCGCCAAGGGTTCACCCGCTGGAAACCGATCTCAGCTGACTGGTATTTGCGTTAGCGATACCACCGCGGACCCACCTTGTACCACGTGGCTCCAAGGCTGTCCGGTCGTGTCTTCGCGTGCAACAATCGCGCACGCTCGCGAGATACGATTTCGCCTCGACGATCCCGGCGATGCGACTCGTCGTATCGCCGTCGCGAAATTATATGGATTTTCTGAAGGGGAAGCCGAGTAGCTCCGCGGCCTGATTGCCAGGTGGTAGGTCAGGAAGACGTCGCTCCGGGCCTGGGCGTGGTCCACGGTAGCACGCGAAGAAGCGAGCTCAGCGTATCCTCCGACCAGGCGCTCTTATAGAGCTAGTGGGTTATTACGTAGTCCAATTTAGGACGTTAGCCCGAGGAGCCTGCGCGGAGCTGCGTGATATCTTCCGTTGTGAAAACGCGGAAGAATGTGGACGGTCCGTTTTGATCTCTGGATAAACCTCCGGTTCGTCCCTTCATAATTGCGCGAAAGATCTCCGATGCAAACATCATATTCTTCTCTTCTTACTCTTGAAGCTACGTCGCTTGTCCGCTGGTCGTAATATTGGCGTTGTCTCATCTACCGTGAAACGCTCGTGGAAAGATACTTATCGAGCTGGATTAGAATGCCTTTAATCGGAGCTAGCGATTATATTTAAAACGCGTCGATGGAAAGAGCTTTTTTTCTTCTAACGTGACAAATAAATTATTCCGTTGTCGCGTCTACCAATTCCTTCGTCATATTCGTGTAATCTACGCCGGTTGGTGTATTTTATTAGAGGTGCGGGAATTCTCGAATCACGCATGAAAGCATCTATCGAATTGTATCTCGAGCGGGAAATTTCGTAAACGCTTCGGACACCGTCAATCGCTCGGTACTTAACAAGACTTATCGTTACCCATTCGAATCGGCCGAGTTATAAAAATAGTTGAATGAAATTATATTCGTCTGCCGCGCCGCTGTATCCCAGACCGCTGCCATCGTTCCCGGCTCTGCAATGGTGCTTCGTGTCGGGTCGGGTCGAAGACTCCTCTGATGTGGCTGACGTCTGGGTGTAGGCTCGGAATACAGGAGGGTGAACAGAAGCGAAAAAAAACTCAAAGAAGCAGGACGGACGAACTAGATGCGAGGGTGATAGGCGAGGGTGGTGACAAAAATCGACCAAGTATCGCGATTCCCTTGCCGTACGCAAACGCAACATCTCTTGCAAGTTTGATGCACGTCGTTGGACCGACGCGGAGGATCGCTCTAATAGAGGAGGGACGTCGGGAAGAACAGGTCGGTAGCTAGAGCATTCGATAGAGATAGAGAAACGCGTGTCTACGGGAGTTTAGGATAGTAGTTGGCCGGATGGCTTCTAATACCTAGAGTAGCCATTCGAATAGCCATTTGAGTAGCCGTTGGAGCCCTTGTAGGGAACAGAGTGTATGCTCCTGGAACAGAGATGGTCGAAATCGGAAGATGAGGAAAGTACACTTCCAGGGAAAACCCCTTGCTTCCTTCCCAATCACATTCTCTACATTTCCATTCTATACATCAATCATTCCCGCCGCCTCGTTAAAGCGTGGGACCCGTGCGCGCCGTGTGTTAGTACAAGAAATAGCCGACGACGAAGAAGTCGTAGCGACGAAGCGAGGGTAGTAAAAAATCGTAGATCTAGTCAGAAGGCGGAATAACGAGAGATGCAGACAGAGGAGGAGGAGAAGAAGAAGAGGAAGAAGAAGAGACGAAGAGAAAGTAGTAGCTGCATGCTGGGGTTTTCTGTGGTGGCGGTAGTAGAATAATTGTTGATCGCGCTTCCGCGACCGGGAAAGAGTGCGGGTGATGAAGTAAAAAAGAGTGCATGGTGGTAATCTGTTGCGTTACATTGTCATACTCTCTGTTGTGTTATTGTTGCTATTATCGTTAATGTTACATTGTTAACTGATGTATGCATTTTGTGTGTACGTCGTGCATATGTGCGTGCATGTTCGTGTGCGTGTGTGTTGTGCGTTAGCGTGTGTGTTGTGCGTGTGTGTTCGTGTGTCAAGGTGCAGGAGGTTCAGAGCTCCCGCTCACCGCCACCCACATCTACAACAGAACAGAAAACAAGACCACCGCCGTTACATACAAGGTATCCATTAGTATCCACCAGTATTGAAGATTTATTTTATCGCTCGCTCGTTCAAACGCGCTCGCGCACACGTTCCATGCGGGGGCAGCATTATTTCAGACTGATTTATGGGTCAGGCCCGATTCTGCGGGCCCGACCGCCGCGCCGACTCGTCGACGCGCGCCTGTAGGCGAGAGAAGGAGTGCAAAGTTCGCGGGTCTTCGCGGATCTTCGCGGATCTCTTCTCTCTCCCTATTCGCGCCTCTATTCGCCGCGAGGCGGGTGAAGGCGACACGTTGCAACATTACAAGGCTATTGATGCGAAAGGTCAACGCGGTAGCGGCCTCCTTCGGCCCAACCAATGGTTTTGACCTTCTCGAGGTTAGCACCGTGACCGCTTAAGCGATAGTTAGCGCGCGTCTTAACTTTCCTGTTGATTTACCGAACGTAATTTTGAACGGGGGGAAAACGGAGAAAAAATTCAGATTGTAAGATTAAAACGCGACGAGCGATAGCTGCATACTTGGGATCCGCAAAGCTCCACGTTGACCTAACCAGCTTAGCCAGGATTTATGGAACTTGCTCAAATGATAATAATTCATTAATTCGTACACTTATCGTAAAAAGCATAATTAATTACAGTCTATCATGTCGCTCTCCAAGCGACGCAATCCTTTCTCTGCTGTAACATGATGTCATCCTTTCTTCGACGCACTTAAACTAGTTTTATATGCATAAAAATGACTCACGTAAACCTTTCTCAATCGCATCCTTTTCTCGCGATCCGCCGTACCTTTAAACCGATACATCTTTTTCTACGCTGCGTCGACGTCCTCGTGTAGCAGAAACAAAACGTCTCTCGATTCAGAAATCGAACAGCAGGAAAAGACAATTTACAAAAATTGCAAACAGGTGTGGCTAAGGCGGTTCGGCACATTTCCATATCTTTTGTTTCTCTCTATCCGTTTCGGAACGACAAATCTCTTACGCATGGAACGGTTTGCGCGAGCGCCGTTAATCACCGGCTACAACTGAGGAACCACCGTGAGACGTTTCCGTTATTAATATTCGACTCCCACCCTCGTACGCGGAGAGACCGGGGTGGCTACCACATGTCTGATTAGGGTTGGCACAACCCCAATAAATAGTGGAGACAACTATATGCGTTTTGTGCAGCAAACTTGTAGCGAATTCGGTTGCTTGCACTAGTGCGCACTGAGTGCACACTAAGGCCCAGTTTCACCGAACGTCGCCTTACTTTAATCTTCGTTTAATTCACGTTTGTCTGTTTCTAAAGTTTCTAAAGTTAAAGTTTCTAAAGTAACTTTAAGCCAAGCTTAAAGTTAAGCGACGTTGGTGAAACCGGGCCTAAGGCTTGTTTACAGTCAATTCTTATATTTAACTTCGTCTTCGATACTCGTTGAAAAAGTATTAACTAAAAAAGAAATGATCCGCACGGATGCTTCACGAATCATTTTACTGGCTGAGAAATGTTTCAAGGGACATCGAAGACGAGCCTTTAATATAAAAATCGACTGTAAACAGGCCTTAGTGTGCGCTCAGTGCGCACTAGTGCAACCGAATTCGCAATTAGTGAATGTTGCAACACGAAACAATGTGGACGCCCCCACCATTTATACGGCAACATTTTAGCTTTTAGTTATTTTTGCCCTAGTCGGTCTCTCCGTGTACGTATACGCGGCATCTCTATTTCGCTGTGCAAAGCTAGTCGTCGACGCGCGTCTCGCGTCACGCGATTATGCGCCAGGCTGTCTATCTGACCGAAGAGAGCTGTCAACTCGTGGACCAGATCAGCCCAACTGAAAGCGAGTCGCAAAATAAATATCACCTTCGGCCGTTCGGTTCTTCGGACTTTGCGAAAGGTTAAATCAACGACCCGACCGGTTTCCCGGGCGTTTGTGTCGATCTACTCTCAGCGCTTTACGCCCGCTCGAATAGCTTTGATCTTTACGATTGTTACACGAAGGTGAACAAGTGCAATTAATAATTTAACGCACAATGAGAATATCTCCGAGCTGCTCCTCGCCGTTCGACGTCGGAACGTTTATTCATTGCGGGCTCGGAATGACAACTTTCGTATCCATTGTCCACGTAAAAGAGAGAAAAAAAATGGCGAATCAACGGCAACAGGAAAAATTGCACGATGACGCAATCTAACGACAGTTAATGTCAATCTAGCTCGACTTCTCGGGCCGATTGCTGACGGAGAACTAATCGTTCGCCATCATCGTGCCTCGACGTGCGGCGAACAGCGAGGAGCGCCGCAGCGCGCGCGCGCGCGCGCGGGTACGCGAGCACGAAAACGTCTCCCGATAGCTTCTCTATTACTTTTCGTATGCAGGTTCTCGCAAGTGAGAGTCACGCACTGACGTCTGATTCACGATCGGTTGCCGCGATATTCCGCAGGAACATTGCCGATGTCTACAACGTCAGGCCGTGTGTCGCGGGGCTTCTCTTTCACAGTGAACGCGACGCCCGTACACGGACCCCTTGTAAGGGACCCCCTAAAGAGTTATACTCGTGGATCGCGGCGATTGATCATGGATCAGCCCGCGTACGTGTCCCGTGCGAGTGCGCGCGCAAAAAAAAAAAACGGAAGGGACAACAACGACGGAGCGGGAAAAAAAAAATTTTTTTTAACGAGCAAAAAAAAAGATACGAAACGGAATGCGATAAAAACGTGACGGTGTACCTGTGCTGCTTGAGATTGTCCTGCCGCTTGAAGGACTTTCCGCAGACCTCGCAGGTGAAGGTCACGTCGTCCTTATGGCTGCGCTCGTGGATCATGAGGTTGTAGGGCTTCGTGAAGCGCCGCTGGCAGTACTTGCAGACGAACTCTACCGTGCACTTGGCGCGCATCTTCTGCCGCCGGCCGAACTCCCTGCCGTGCCCCTCTGTCTCCATCGGCATTATCGCGAACATCCTTATAAATTCCCACCGCTCCTTCTCTTGGTCGAGTCTCTATCTCTCCTTTCCCTCTGCCCGCCTCTCTCGCTCTCTCGCTAACGCCCGGAGTCACTCCCACCACTCCTTTTCTGTCTCCCTCTGTCTCCTCTCTCAGTCCTCTCCTCGGTGTTCGCGCGCTCTCTTTCTTTCTCTCTCTCCCTCTCCCTCCCTCCCTCTCTCTCTCTCTCTTTATCTTTATCTTCCTCTGCCTCGCTCGCGGACTTTCGTACGCTGTCTTTCTCTCTTTATCTGTCTTTCTCGACTGTCGTTGTTCGACTCGCTCTTCTCCTCCCGCGCAAAGCTAGTCTCGGGCACGGCTGACTCCTGGGAGTGAGATCACTGCTTGTACCACGTCGCGAGAGAATCCTCGTATCGCTGCCTGCAAAGAGCAAAGAATCGATGATTCTCCTCCGATCTGACTCGCGCGGGCGCGCGCGCGCGCGCTCGAGGGAATCACCCGAGAGCCGCGCGAGAGCCGGAGTATCCGAGACGAGATATTTACGCGAAGCGCCGTTGCCTACGAGCAACGGGTTAGTAACGTTGAAGCAACTTCTGAAGTATTTTGCATTCCTTACGAAGACGCGTAGGCGGAGGGACGCGCGTATGCCAATGTTGCCTCTCTCGCGGAATAGAAATTCACTCCGATCGAATTATTCCCGCGATATTTTATCGGGAGCGCGCATTAGGGCGGCATAGGGAAGTACTTTTCCTACGCGTTGCGTACGCAAAGGGTAACTCACTCGGACGCGAGCTGGCTAGAACTCCGATTCCGCGAGGAGAGCCCGTTGCCGGGATACTATCGAGATTCGAGATTTCGCGACACGTGAAAAAGAATTTTTACGCACGAGGATAAAAAATGCGAGTAGAACTTTTGTAGAAATGTCGCGAGCTAGTTTAGAATTTTACTGTTGCACACGTGCAATTTATTGTATTTTCCACTTAACATTGTGACGTTACGGTAACATTAAACTCTGTGTATCTGCGGGAAGTGGCAAATTAAAAAGAACGACTGGACGTACTCTCCTTCTTCTTATTATTAATTTTATCTCAATGACTATAATTAATATACAGGGGGGACAATCATTTACATGTTTTAATTTCGTGAGAAATGTATATCGGACGATCATACTATTTACTTATTTACTATTTTAAAAATCTATTTATAATTTATTTATTCAATTTTATAATTTAACAAAAAATCTATTTATTTTTTACTTATTTACGTTTTTAAAAACCTATTTAATGGATTTATTCAATTTTAGAATATAGCAGAAAAACTAGTATACAATTATTTAAGTTATATTAAGCGAATTAGATGTGGTGTTCGAGAAAGACTAAGTGAAGTCGAAACGTTCACCGATGTAAATAATTAAAAATAAAACTTTACTTTGAAAACATCCAATATACCAGCTCGTTAAATTTGGCCTCTCAAAACTCAAATTAATTGTGTACACATAAAACGAGCGTCACCTCTACATTATTTTAAAAAGAACGACTTTCGCGATATGTGAAATCTAGTCACAAGCAAGTTTAGCATTTTACTCTTGCGCACGTGCAATTGTATTTTTCATTTAAACTAAAACAGAAAATTTCTTCAGGGTCGTCAGCAATAATTAACAACATCAAGTTGTGTTGACCGTATCTGGCAATTTTTATGTTTAAACATCGCTACGTTTCGACCATGGGTTTTGGTCCTTTTCACGCGATCTGACAATACAAATTAGAGATTTACAAATTAATATATAAATAAAGTAAACAAGTCCGAGCTATTAACTTCACAGTTACAAAAATTATAATTGTTAGAAGTATTATCTGAGATAGCCGATATATACATAGACTCGCGTGTATTTTGATGATGTAGAGAGGATTATCGTGTATAATCACATACTAAAAATGAGAGCGTTAGAGAGAGAGAAAGATGAAGAAATTTGGGTTGAAATTAATAATATATCGACTTACATGCTGTGAAAATTTTGTGTCGGAGTTTGATACACGAGAACGTTACTTGAGAGTTGACGGACCATGACTGACTAAAATATTAGTCAGAGGGTAAAATTAAAAACAAGTAAAAGTCACAAGAAAAAGTCAAAAGGATAAATAAATAGTGATATCCGGAATTGAGGGTTGCTCATTTGACATTGTACCATTATCGCAACATTAAACTCTGTATATCTGCGAGAGGTAGCAAGTCAAAAAGAACGATTTCCGCGATATGTGAAAAATAATGTGTTTCGTGCGCGAGGATAGAATATGCGAGCAGAACTTTTGCAAAAATGTCACAAGCAAGTTTTAGCATCTTACTCTTGCACACGTGCAATTGTATTTTCCAATTAACGTTGTAACATTATCGCAGTATTAAATTCTGTGCATCTGCGGAAAGTAGCAAGTAGAAAAGAACAATTAAATCCGTGCTTCTATAAATAAAATCGGACACTCGCAGGATTTTCACACAAATGTTAAGTAAACTTCAAATTTCACTTCACTTTAAATGTGTATTATGACACCTTGCGCAATTTCACGTTACAACTCGACGAAAATCGTGCAAAGTTACGAAATTGTAAGAAACTGTACGATTCTTGCACCCGAATGGACTTAATAGTGAAACGTTAAACGAATAAGCAAAGATTTTTTTCACAAAATCGATTAGGAATAATGTACCCTTCTAAATCTCATAATTACCTCAAGTATTCATTATCAAGTTAAGTTTTTCTGCATCGTCGTGCAAAAACATGGCGGAGTGCCCATAATAAGCCGCGCGCTTCCGAAAAAAAAAATTAATGACTAGTTTCCTAATTGGGCGCGTCTGCTCGATTCACGAGTTTAAATCATTAGCTCCGACACGTCCTCCGGGCGTATTTAACTTCAAACGCGACTGTCCGGTCTTGAGTTTCATCCGCATGGGACGCCGCGTATATTTCGTGGTAATCGAGGGGGAAGAAGCAGCCACTATTAACGCTAAACGCACGCCGCAAATACGATCCGTAATCTTTACGCTCGCCATCCGGCGCCACGCAAATCACGAGAATATTTCCCGAGCTCGCGACGCTGTTCCAAAAACAAAAAACATGAAAGCGGCGAGTCGTCGATTAACTTTTTGTGCGACCGATACGGGTTGAGTTTCGTGTTTCCATAAAATTCATGTTAAAATATTGTTTACGTGACAGCCGGCTGCACAACCGCGCAATACTGTACGCATACATCGTGCTTTAACTCACTATTTTTTCTAGCGCGTGATCATTTTTCAAAACCGGGAATCGTCCGCGAAGTTTGTCTTTCGTCTGACTTTCTGCTTCGAGCCGTTGATAATCTTCGCACGCGGTCGCCTTGAGATGTCTCTTAAACTCCCGGAAATAATCCGGAGAGGTCTGATGTAACCGAATTCCACCGAAGTCACATTTTCGCGCGTTAAACTTCAGCATTTATCTCGCCGCCTAAAGCCCGTATCAGACTACGGATTGAGACTGGGATTAGTTTGAAATTTCACCAATCACAGTAAAGTTTACTAATCTCGAGTTTAGTAACCTTTACTCTAATTGGTCAAATTTCAATCTAATCTCATTCTCAATCCGTAGTCTGATACGGGCGTTGGGGAATGCTGAATTGATTCTGCACTTTTGGTACCGTTTGCCCCTAGAACTGTCAATTCGTGAAAACATTTGTGTAATATACAAATTATGCGGCTTTTGTATACGAACCGACAGTGTTCCGCTATTCGGACTAAATCAGAGAACATGGTATCATTGGAATTAAATTTAGAAGCCTAACAAAAAATCTATTCACTCGAATAAGTTATGGGTTAAGTAACGTATAACTTAATTTCAATGATACCATGCTGTTCTTTGACTTAATCTGAATAGTGGGACACTGTCGGTCCGTACACAAAAGCCACATAATTTGTATATTGCACAAATGTTTTCGCGAATTGACAGTTCTAGGAGCAAAAGGTGCCAAAAGTGCAGAATCACTCCAGCATCCCCTCAATATCTTCGCTTGCACGTATATTTCAAGAGGAGGCGCGTTCCCTCCGCGATAAACCGAGGAGAAACACGTGAATTGCACCGCGTACGATACACGCCAAATTATACCCCCCGTGCGTGTTGCTTTCAAAACTCCCCCGTAAGACCCGGCTCGGCCGGATATGAATGGGCGATCGGGATCGCACCGTCGCGGTCCATAATGGCACGGTTCTTGAATTGGAATCGGCATTGTTAAAAAACGAGCCCGCGGGACCGAGTCGCGCGGCGCGGCCATTGTACGGGAGCCGGTCGCTACCGGGCTCGCATTAAGCTCGCACGGCGCACGCTCGAATAAAGTGGCGTGTCCGAATGAGTAATAAGCGCTGCCTGGGCGTAGCCCGGTTGGTTAGCGTGGCTAACGGGGCGGTGGAGCCTAATCGGAACTGCGCATTACGCGCGGCCTCGCGTCCGGAGGAAAAAGGGGCCCCTTTCCTTCCTTTTTACCCCGGGCGGGCATCACACGTCTCCGTCTACCCTCTTCTACTCCCTTCCCTCCCGCCCGGTTGGTGTTGACACGTCCGATGATTCAGATCCCGATGCAAATATCCGCCCCGGATAGCCGATGCACGTAAAAACGACAAAGGCAGACGGAGAGAATTTTCTTCTCAGGTTTAGCCTGAACATTATGTCAACGTGGGACAAGACGGCATTTCGGAGAATTTTATGAGAGTTCTTTGAAATTTCACCGTACATTTCATTGGTAACTGCACTTAGGCTCGGTTTCTCATTTTCTGGATAATTGTTAACCAGAAGTTGGTCGACTCTCGCTCACTTCTCGAATAATAACGTAAGAAAAGAGAGCCGGCTAACTTCCCATGCAGCACGCATGTCTAAAAGGCATCTTTAAGACGTTTTTAAGTAGTCTTTTAAGAAGATTTAAAGATGTCTTAAAGATGTCTTTTAGATACACGAGCTCTGGTTAACAGTTCACCGGAAAACAAAAAGCCCGGCCTTAGGGCCGGTTTCACAAACGCCGGTTAACCGTTAACCAAGGGATAAACCGCTGAGGGTATTGTGGTGTACAGATTTCCGGCATTACTGGGCATTACTAGATATTTTCTGGACATTAGTTTGGGCATTA